AAAAAAAAAAAAAAAAAAAGAACAAAAAAAAAATACTCGTTCGCTCCACAGAGTGCTCCGTGCTTGCTGATTTGCACGCCTTTACATGAAGGTGTAGCAGCGCAGGGGTGTAGCGGCGCAGTGTCGCGGCACAGGGGTGTTTTTTTTATTTTTTTTTAACGCACTATTATTTTTTATGCCCTCCATTGAGCGGTGAACAAATCAGCAGAGAAATGTGCCCTACATGATGGATGCCTGCAATATGTGGATATTTATATTTCGATGCACAGCCGTGTGTGATGATGTCCCTTGGCGCCGCCAACAAGCGGAAGGCTGGATAAGACAAATGCCAACTGATACCGTGCAGTTATATCCCCCTGCGCGCACCCAATGAAAACAACCCCATTTAGCAAAAACACAGTGGCAAACTCAAATGATCATTTTACACTTTTACATTTTTTTACAAAAAGGCGCATTAAACAGGGAGGAGTAGTGGAAGGATTGCCAAAGCTATCGGTGTAGGTGCGCGATGGGAGGAGGAGGGAGCGAGGGAAAAAGATTGGATGGGCATCTCAGTTCGACACTTCGCAAAATGAAGATGGCGTGCTTGATTTGCTTCCGCCCCCCCGCTGCGCTCAGCTCCATTTGGTCCGCCTCTTCCCTGTGACTGGGTCAGAAATTGCTTTAATCAGGATGCGCAGGTTCATTTCGAAATTGCCGTTCACACAAGTGAGAAACAGGAACGTCATTTGGCTATGATTAGTTTTTTTCTTTTCTATTCCTTTGACGCCCTTGGCGAACTGTTTGTAGAGAGTACACAACTGGGGTTCCTTTCCCACAAGGACGGAGTCTATTTTTTGTAACCTACACGGGCTATGCCACCAATTTGGGGAGCGGCCCCCGTTGAGGCGTTGCAACTACGCAAAGATTGGTCATTTATTTCTCGTCTTCTTTTTTCCCCCTCTTTTTTTCTCTCCTCTTCTTCTGATCTCTTCAGGTAAAAATGTCTCTTTTTTTTGGCAACCTTTTTCAAGAGAAAAAAGAAAAAAGAAGGGAACGTCTGTTTGCCACCCAATGTGCCTCGTCCTATTGTTTTATGTCAAAATGGGGATAAGATAAATATATATACAGTGCCGCTTTTATGGAGGAATCCCACGACCGTCACGAAAGGAAAAGAAAAAATTGTTCCCCTTAATTATCTACACAACTGAGCATGTCATATTGACGAAATTTCTATTAAAAAAAAATATAGCGCTCTTTCTGGCGCATGGATGAAGAGGGGGAATCTCATATTCGCGATTGCAAGAAGGTTGAACAAGTGGAAAAAAACAGAGGATACTCCCCGCCTTTTTCCTTTGCGGATGGATAATCTTCTTTGCGCGAAAAAAGATGCCGTAATGAGAAATGTACTGAGCGTGCGGCATATACGGGCGACGACCCTCTCCTCGTGTCATGCCCACGTTGTGGAGTGTTGTAAGGGGTTCTCAGAAATAAAATTCCCATTGGGGGGACAAGGCACACTCTTAACTATGCGTAATAGCACCGTATACCTTAGGCTTCTTTATGTATGCCACTCATCTATACAGCGCAGTGGAGAGGCAACATGTGACATACACATGGATAAGGGGAGGGAAAGAGGAAAAGGTTGATGGTTTCGTGGTTTGCGTACTTTAAAGGGGAAAAAAAAATGAAAAGGGGGGTAAAAAAATCCCTCTCCGCAGGTGAGATAAACGGTATGTTGTATGCCCGCTTGAAACGAAAAGTACGCCATAAGGGGTGCGCCACCCACAAGTAAAAGAGTGAAAAACGAAGAAGGAGGAAAGCAATAATCAACACGTAATAAAATACGCACTCGCTTCACCACATTGCTTAGCAGTGTTACGCCTGATGCGTAGCATTACTGTGGTTGGCCTTTTTTTCCCACCCGGTGTGGTACCCCACAAGGCCTAACTGTGACTGGCGTTGCTGTTTGCACTAGCGGTGCGGTCGTCATATATTCCTCAACAAAAAAAGGGAAAAAAAAGAAGATGGTGGTTAACGCACTGGGGATGAACTTTCCGCATGAGAAGAAAGGGGAGGGAAGAAAAAAAATAATAAATAACCATCGCACAGTGGGCGGATATATATATTATGTATTCCTCCAGCGACACCTCCGAACCGCCATATCCGAAGGGGTAAACGAAACGCGCTTGAGTAGGTTTTATTGCCAGTGGGGCACAATACTGCGTTCTCTCCTCGACGAGCCATTCGAAGGCAGTATGAAGAAAGAAAAATTGCACGAGGGTAAGCAAAAAAATATTACAGTTACATGCTCTGTTTCTGTTTCTTTTTTTTTTCTTTTATCAAAAGTGTTTAGAAACATCTACAAAAATAAATTGCCATCATATGCGTGAAAGTAAATTGTACATTTTGCGACAATAGAAGGAAAACGGAAAAAGGAGGCCCACTCACTTTTACTGCTGTTTCGCAAGGCATCCGTTACTGTTTGTTCCCCCCCTTCGCGCATACCTCCTAGAAGTGGCATATAAAATCATATATGTATGTATATGTAGTATATGAGTGCAAAATTGTACGCTAAGAGAAAAGAGGAAGAATCTGCCAAACAGTGGAAGATACCGCAGCGGGTATTATTTTAATCTCCCCGAGGGAGTAACGTACGGAAATCTCTTTTGCATTCGATTGAGTAAAAATGGTAACGTGAAAAATAAAATATAATTGAACTGCTCCGATTTTTATGAGCCCCTCCCTACGCCTTCGCCATGCGGCAGTGTAGGTGTGGGGTGCCTGTGTGAGAGTACCAACACGCCGTTTGAGTGTACCGTGCAGTCACACGAATGCGTTTTTATTTTATTTGGTGTTTTCCCTGTGCACGTCACGTAGCCCAAAAGGGGAAGCGGTAAAAGAGAGGGAGCTGCTGGGTGCACAGGGATCAGTAGTATCTTCGGTTGCTCCTCCCTCCCCGGTGGTGATTAAGGAAAACAGCATGTTTGCGCATCGCCCGTTCCATTTATTGCGCATGCCCCCTATCCTCATTTGGCTGTCCTCCTCCCCCTATTTTGCTCCCCTGCAGGCGGAAGAATCCACAGTAGATATAGGAGTAGTGAACAAGAGGCTACTCGAACCAGTCCCTTTTGTAAGGACCAACAACTGCATCAAGGATGTGGACGCCGAGTTGTTCATTAAGGCATATGCGAGTTACTTAAAACTGCACAACAAAATAACCTTCCCCAAATGGTGTAACTTCGTGAAGACGGGAAAGGGGAGAAAGTTAGCCCCCTTAAATGAGGACTGGTATTTTGTAAAGGCGTCAAGCATCTTGAGGAAGTTGTACCTTAGTCCAGATATCGGAGTTGGCTACCTCAGAAGGCATTACAGTTACAAGCAGAGAAGAGGTGTCGCCCCTAACCATACCAGTTTAGCTAGCGGGAAGGTTTTAAGGTCAATTTTGCAGCAGCTAGAAAATCTCGGGTATGTAGAGCAGAACCCGAAGAAGAAGGGAAGGAGACTCACGACGAAGGGGGAAAATGCCATCAACAATTTTGCCAGGTACATTAACAAGAAGGTATACAAATTGGAGAAGGAGTGATGGCGAGAGAGGCAGAGCAAGGGAAGTGTGCACTGCCGTGAGATGGTCACACAGTACTGTGCAGATAGAAGAGGTACAACACGGAGCATCGCGTGGAACTTGCAATAGGTGTGTGCACTGGTGCGTGATAGAAGAAAACACCCGCGTTGCTGCATCGGTGGGTGAGTAAGCCCCTAGCCCTGGATGATCACAATTATGAGTGAGATGGATTTTTCTTTTTTTTTTCTTCTCTTTTTCCTTTCTTTTTTCACCCCCTTGTGAATTCCCTACGTATGTGTCTTATTCCCCTTTCTTAACACTTCAATGTTGTGGCACCTTATCCTACTTACACAACTTCACGTCGATTGCGAAGAGGGTACGGTAACATGCGGGGAGGGAACCCCAGCCGTGCGACGTTGACAGTGATCACTGCATCGCTAACTTTATGCGTTAAGTTTTTTAAAAATTGCGGGGGCGCTGGGATGCGCGGCAAAAAGGGGCGTATTTAACTTAGCAAATGAGTAAAAAATGGTAAAATTGCCTGACGAGTCAGGCGAAAAAAAAAAAAAAAAGAAACGAACAGACGAACAAACAAATGAACAGACAGACAAACAGGTAGACTTCCTTCTTCCCCCAAAGTTCACTTCACATTTTGATGACAGAAAAACCGCTTGTGTGAAATACGCACGGCGGCATGGCGTCGCTGTCCAGGGCCACCTCTCCTCATGGAGTTAAATTGTTTCAAGGAAGGTGAAGAGAGACGCACAAAATTGTACTTCACTTCTTTTCGGAGGAAGAGTCCCATTGGGTGGCCTCCATAAAGGTACAAATAAAACACACAGTGTGGTTTCCTTCCCGCTTCGACTTTCCTTTTTGTTGTTTCGTCTTTTTAAAGGCGTGGCCCATGGGGTGGGTGAACCGCGCCGTTGTCCAATACGTTGCTATCGACTAGCGAACTGCAGAGAAGGCTCCTTTTTCACGTCAACAAAATTTTGTCCCCCGCCTCTGGCTTTTGTTCAATTTGTCCTTACTGACCCCTATTGGTATGTGTTTCCGTTTGGGCGGACTGTGGATATGTTGCGCGGGAAGGAAGCAGTGTTCGCAAAAGAAAGGAAAATATATATATATAATGTGACCCCTTTTGTGAGCGAAATGGGAAGATAACTTGACGAACACCCTGACCCTCGCGAGCTTGGCGCAACTGTAGTTTGGCTTCCCCCCCCTCGTAGTTCCTTCCGCGGGAAAACGAATGTATACAACGTTTCGCGGGACTGAGTGGTTAGCGTGCCCGAAGGTGGAATCCCTCCTCCGTGCATTTGCCAAAGGTATTTTTTTTTTCTTTTAAACGCACGTATAGGAGTAATATATGACGCAGATTTCCTGATGCAGAAAGGTGAAGAAAAAGGAGCCCCGTTTTGGGAAGCAATTTTCAACCCTTGACAGTCACCCCCATGTATCGCGAAATCGATATGAACACCCCACGGCCCATAGCAGTAGCCATATGCAAAGGTAGCGGCAGCATCACATGCGTAAGAGACTACACAAGGGGTGAAGTACGAGCAATTGTTAGGTGATTGTTACTCAGGTATTTCCCTTCTGCTGACGCTACTTATTTGAAGTTACCTGCTTGTTTATGCGGGAGGAAGGGGATAAGCAGGGGGAGCATCCATCACCCGAGTGATATGTTATTTGTTCGAATGGGCATCTTAGGGTAACCCCATTCTGGGAGGTTATTATCTGAGAAGGTCACTACTTCGTTCCTTCGTCCGTTCGTTTGTTTCTTCTTTTTTTTTTTTTTTTTTTTGGCGAAGGAAGGCATATACAATGGCATACTCTTAGTACACTGTCGTGGGAGTGTAGCCTATATACTCAGATGGTACAGATTTGTTCCTCTCCCCGAGGCGTCAGTTTTTTATTCTCTGCGAATTGGGGAAGAAATCTCTCCCCGTCGTTTAAGTGACACCACTGCTGCGAAGGAGCGGCCACCATTTAAGGGGAGACCATACCGTTGTAACAACAGCGCCCCCTTTATTACACCATGGCGGAGGAGTATGAGAAATACAAGCGGTTTGAGTACCGCATGAATTCGAATCTAGTGCTGCAGAGGGAGGGCCCTATTCCTAACTTTAATGAGCCCACGGGGGAGAGTGAAAGTCTGGCTGGGAAACTGAAGCATAAGATGGGGGATAAGGTAGAATACACGAAGCCAACTAGGCAGAGCAGGAGAAGGGATGAACCATTTAGGAGAAGCGTAAAGAGGAAGGATCCCCTATTCGATGGGAATAGGAAAAAAATCAGAAGAGGAGGAACCAGTGGAAGCATCAAAGAGACAAGCGTATTGAGCATTAACCTTCAGGACATATTTATGTACAAACCAAGCACGAAATACACGGAGAAAATGTTTTCCAATGTGATGGGTGCAGTTAGAACCATCATTGGAGATCAAACGGGGGACATCATTAACAGTGCTTGTAATGAAATACTCCTCATTCTTAAGAACGAGAAATTAAGCAATGAGGAGAAAAAGAAACAAGTAGAAGGTGCACTTGAAGTAACTTCCATGAGTGATGAGCAGTTTCTCCAGTTAGACAATTTTGCCAGGGAGATTTATGATTTTAACAGGAAGGAGATTCTGGAGGAGGTAGACGAGGAAGAAGGGGTTGCTGTCGTGTTTGAGGAAGACGATGAGTATTTCGACTATCGGAGCAGCAGGAAGGGGCGGGACAGCTCGAAGAATCAGGAGGATATGGCAAGCACGAACGAGTTGAGTGATGACTACAGGTATGGCCAGGTGGAGGAGGAGGAAGAAGCGGAGGACGAAGAAGAAGAGGAGGAGGAGGAAGAAGCGGAGGAAGACGAAGAGGAGGATGACACAGAGGATGAGTCCAGCCAAGCGGAATACAGGGGTGACTCCTCGGGTGAAGAGAATAGTCGTGAAGACGAAGCGGGAGAGAGAAATGAAGAGCAGGAAGGAGAACCACCCATGGGGAAAAAGAAGAATCGCTCTGGAGGGCAGTCCACCTCATCTAGGAAGGGAAGCACCGCGAAGAAGAGCTCCAAAGGAGGTATGATTATCACCCCAGGTGCTTTCCCTATCAAGAAAAAACAGGAGAAACAAGAGAAGCATCTCAGCCTAAAAAGCATTAAGAAGGATACAGGTGGGAAAAGAAACGAAGCGGAGGATTACGAATTGGACACAAATTCGATAGACGCACATTGGCTGCAAAGAGAACTGAGCAAAGTTTTTACCGACCCTTCTCTCTGTTTGGAGAAAGAGAAGGAAGTCTTGGATGTTCTCGGCATCTACGACATACAAGAGTGTGAGAACAAGCTAGTACACATTCTGAAGTACGATAATTTCAACATGGCAAAATTGCTAATTAAGAATCGATGGAAGGTTTACTACTGCACGCTGCTTGGTCAGGCTCAGACGGAGAAGGAAAAGAAGAAGATCATGGAGGAGATGAGGAAGAGCGAGGAGGGGGAGGAGATTCTGGAGGAGCTCTCGAATTTTAAGGCCATGAAGAGGAACAAGCAGAGCGAGTTCGCCAAAACGATGCGGAGGGAGGCGGACAACTTGTTCAGCAAGAGAAGGTATGGGAGCGGCGGGGTGGAGGAGGCCACGGAGGAGGCTCACCAGGGGGGCAGGTTCATCCACGAGGGGGAGGAGGAAGAAGCTGAGCAGTCGGATGAAGCGGAGGAGACGGACGAGGCGGAAGAGGAGGACTTGGACGATGTGGACCCCCCTTCGAAGAGTGCCAAGGAGGTTGCGAAACCAACTATGCAGAGGAAGCAGCTAAGCGTGAAGGTGGGAGGGAAGGGAAGAGGGGAGGCCAGCAAAGGGGAGCGCAGCAAAGGACAGCGCCACGTCCTGCCCCCGCACGACAGCCACCACCATGACGATGAGGAAGCAATGGAACACTTCAAAGCCAAGTATGTTGACCTAGAAAAGATGGACGTCAGGCAGAAGGGAGCCGATTTCTTTAACAGAGAAGTCGTTTTGCCAGTGGATAGCACCCGAGTGGAGAAAAAAGATTACGATGAGATTATCATTTCAAGTTCAAGGAATAGAAGCAGCGGTGGGAAGGGGTCTCTCGGAAATGAGAAGGCAAGGGGGAGGGAGAATTACTTCACTAACCCGGAAGAGATAAATCTCGTGAGCGTGTCGGAGCTACCAGAGTGGGCACAGGAAGTATTCACCTGTGTAGGGATTAGCAAACTGAACGCGATACAATCTAAGGTTCACCAAGTGGCTCTCAACAGATACGATGAGAATATGCTCATATGTGCCCCAACCGGTTCAGGAAAGACCAATATTGCCTTGTTGTGCATGTTAAATGTGATCGGAAGCTATAGGTTACGGAGTGGGAACATCGACAAGAAGGGCTTTAAGATTATTTATATATCTCCTATGAAGGCCCTGGTGAATGAGCAGGTGCAGTCATTCTCCCTCAGACTGAAGTGTCTGAATATGAAGGTTAGCGAACTAACAGGAGACGTGAATCTAAGCAGCAAGGAGATTGATGAGAGCCAGGTGATTGTTATGACCCCCGAGAAGTTCGAGGTGATAAGTCGGAAGTGGAATGAGAAGATCCTGCTGCAGAAGATAAAGCTGATCATTTTTGATGAGATTCACCTGCTGAACGAGGCCCGTGGGAACGTCCTGGAAAGCATCATCAGTCGGGTGAACCGTTACGTGGACAACACGCTGGTGTACGACGGGGGGGTGGTGGCCGGTGTGGAGGCGGAAGGAGCGTCAAGGGTGGTGCCTCCTAGCGTGCCACCTACCATACCGCCCCACGCGCATGCCGCCATGCAAAACGACCTAACCATGCGCAGGAAGAAGATCCGGCTGGTGGGTCTCTCCGCCACGCTGCCGAACTATGAAGATGTGGGGCTGTTCCTGCGGGCGGATCTCCGCACAGGGGTGTTCTACTTTGATTACTCCTTCCGACCGGTACAGTTGGAGCAGCACTACATCGGTATTAAGGAGAAGAAGGGGATTAAGAAGTATGCCCTGATGAATGAACTCACGTACGAGAAGGTCTTGGAAGAGGCTGGAAAAAATCAAATCCTGATCTTTGTGCACAGCAGGAAGGAGACCTACCGAACGGCGAAGATGCTGATCGAGAAATCGCTAAAAAGTGATAACCTGAATAGGTTCCTGATGGGGAAAAAGATATCAAGTGAGATTCTCTTGTCCGAGAAGGAAGCTATCGTGAATGAGGAGCTGAAGGAGATCCTCTCCTTCGGGTTCGGTATTCATCACGCAGGGATGAAGAGAACCGATCGGAAGTTAGTGGAGGATTTATTCTCCGACAGGCATCTGCAAGTGCTGGTATCAACGAGTACCCTCGCGTGGGGAATAAACCTTCCCGCGCATACCGTCATCATTAAAGGGACCAGTGTGTATAATATCAGCGTCGGCGATTTCGACGAATTGTCTCCAATGGATATCCTTCAGATGGTAGGAAGGTCAGGAAGACCACAATACGATAAAAGTGGGAAAGCAGTGATCATAACGGATCATCGAAATTTGCAGCTTTATCTCTCATTGAATAATGAGCAACTCTGCATTGAATCGACCCTCATGAGGAACATAGTCAACGTGGTGAACGCGGAGATCGTGCTGAGAAACATCCAAAACTTTAAAGAAGCAGTGAACTGGTTCCGCTATACGTATCTGTACATCAGGATGATGAAAAATCCCAGGCTGTATGGAGTGGTCGGGAGGAATGAGAAGATGGACTCCTCTGAAGAAGGGAAAGAGAAGCATGTCTCTGATTTGTTCATGCAGAAGTTGAATAAAAGAATATACAATATCATCTACTCCGCGTTCGTAACATTGGAGAAGTATGACTTGGTCAAATACAACAAGAAGTTAAACACGGTTAGTAGTACGTATGTTGGTAAAATCAGCAGCTACTACTACGTGGATTACCGCTCTATCGATCTGTACAATAAGAAGCTAAATAAGCACACAAACGAGACGGAGATGCTGAAAATCTTCGGAATGAGTGACGAATTTAAGCACCTTTTTGTGAGGGAAGAAGAGAAAGTAGAGTTATCTATAATCATGGAAAAGCTACCAATCCCATTGAAAGAATCGATAAATATCCCCTACACAAAGATCAATATACTTTTGCAGTTATATCTATCTAATGTGACACTAAGTGGGTATATCATTAACGCAGATTTGATTTATATACAGCAGAATGCGTTGAGGATTTTTAGAGCCTTTTTCGAAATATCGTTGAAAAAGAACTCATACCATTTAACCGCGCTGACTTTGAAGTTTTGCAAAATGGTAGAGAGGAAGATGTGGGCGACTATGTCTCCTTTGAGACAGTTTGGTCTCCTTAGCAATGAGCTCATCCGAATTATAGAGAAAAAGAATATCACCTTTAGGAACTACCTAAATATGAGTCTCAATGAATACATAACCATATTTAAAAATAAGAAGATTGCGAAGAATGTATACAAGTTGGTTCATCACTTTCCTAAGATTGAATTGAATGCATATATCCAGCCGATCAATCACAGGATGCTGAAGGTGGAACTGAACGTTAGTCCCGATTTTATTTACAATCCTAAGTATCACGGTCACTTCATGCTGTTTTGGGTATTCGTCTTTGACATTTCCAGTGAGAGCATGCTGCATTACGATCTGTTTAGTTTGAAGCGGGGTGGTGTCGCTACCTCCGCTAATATCAGCTCTGTAAACGCATCCGGTCAGTCGTACCAAGAAGGGGACCACTCCGCGGACTCGCTGGACGATCATCTGCTGACCTTCTTCGTACCGATAAATGAGAATCCCTTCTACATCGTAAAGGTGGTCTCAGACAAATGGCTGGAATGCGAGAGTACGATTAATCTGTATCTGAAGGATGTCATCTTACCGTCCAAGATTTCCTTCTCCACGCCGCTCCTCGATCTACAGGCTCTCCCAGTGAATTCCCTCAAATTTGACGAGGCGAAGCGATTTTTCCACTCTCGAAATGTGACCCATTTTAACCCCATCAACACGCAGATATTCCCATCGGTGTACGAAATGGGTGGCAATGTCATCATCTGTAGTTCCCCTGGTAGGTACTACCTAACCGCAGCTGAGTTGGCCATCCTTAAGATGATCCGATCGGTAAAGCAGTTGGAATCCTTCATTAGGAGGTACCTAAAAAGGGAAGACGATCTGTACAAAGTTATTCGCGATAGGAACATTGCCAGTGTGGCATATAACAATCCGGTTGATTTTATCAAAGTGGTGTATGTCGCCCCTTTGGAAGAAATCGTCTCCAAGACGTTTGAAAATTGGACCCCTTTTGCGGCCTCGTTCGGAATGAAGATGGCAACACTGACTGGAGATGTGCAAATCGACACAAAGATTCTGCAAAAGAGTAATATCATTCTTTGCACCCCAGATAGGTATAACAATTTGTCGAAAAAGTGGAGAAGGAAAAAAATCCTGCAGTCAATCAATCTCTACATTTTTGATCATATGGAACTGCTAGACACATCACAGGGGGCCATCATGGAGGTCGTCATCAGTCGCGTGAGATACATAGCGACTCAGTTGCAGTTGGGGAAGTCTCAGCGGGGGAAGAAAGGCAACAGAGGTTCTGCCTCTTCAGAGGGGAAGCCGAGGCTGCCTCCCTTCTTTGAGCTCAACTTGGCCGAGGATAGGACGAAGGAGCGGGAACAACGTGATAGCGAAGGGAAGGAGGCACAACAGTCCGGTGCGAAACAGTCCGATGCGGCCCACTACCTCAACCAGATGCAGCATCTAAACATGGACGATATTTACGAGAACATTGGGGTGAATCGAATTGTGTGTCTGTCGAGCTGCTCCATCAATAACTGCAAAGATGTCGGAGAGTGGGTCGGGTGTAAGAAGGGGGACTATTTCAATTTCCTGTCGAGTGTGCGGAGCATCCCCATCGAAATTTACCTGCACGCGGTCAGCATTATGAACAAGCAGAATAGGTATCTCTCGATGCAGAGGCAGGTGTACCAGACGGTGAGGAAGTTGAGGAAGAAGAATGCCATCATCTTCGTGACGGAGGATAAGATGTGCAAGACGTTGGCACTCGATTTGGTTCTCTCTGCGTGTAACGATGAGTTTGCCTTTTTCTCCAGCTTGGGAGGGACTACCGGGGAGGACCCTCTTCAATGCCAGCTCGGAGACCATCTCCACGATAGAATGCTCGTGGAGCTACTAAAACAAGGAGTGGGCTACCTCCACCGAAACATGAGCGAGATGGAGAGGAAGCTAGTGGAGGCCCTCTTCGACAAAAAGGCGATACAGTTACTCATCGTAGCGCACGACTACGTATACAGGTTAAACGTCTATGCCAATGTAGTCATCCTGCTGGACACTATAATTACCCACTTCGATGGAAGGGAAGAAGATTATTCCATTCAGAGCGTACTACAGATGCTGAGCTATGCCGGTCGGGAAGGAGAAGACATAAAATCGTTTGTCTACATATATACCTACATCACGAAGAAGGAGTATTACAAGAATTTTATTTACGAGCCGCTAACCGTAGAATCAAACATAGAAGACTATATGCCAAACTTTCTAAACAACGAGATTGTGATGAGTACGATAGAGAGCTACCAGGATGCGATTGACTGGATCACGTGGTCTTTCTTCTACAGGAGGATTAGGAAGAACCCTAATTATTATGGCTTGAAGGGGGTGTCTAATGAGCATATATCGGACTACCTCTCGGAGCTGATTGAGAGCAACATTGAGCTACTCTCCTTCGCGAACTGCGTGGCGATCGAGTTGGGCGAGGATTCGAAGCAGGAGAGGAAGGCACGCAATGGGGTCGGGAGCAGCGGCGTGGACGGCGCGAGCAGCGGCTCTGTTTCCATCAAACCGTGCAACCTCGGCATCATCGCGTCTTATTACAATCTGGACTATCACGTAATTCACTTCTTCAACCAGTACGTCCTATCCCTCAAGGGATTGAAGAAAAACAGAATAATGGAGATCGTCTGCCTTTCCAGCGACATGTCCCAGGTGGTAAAAATCAGTAACCACGATGTGATGCTCTGTGTGAAGATTGCCCAAACGTGCAATATGAAGGTTACCTCTGAGTTTTTAAAGCTCTCTATAAGTAGTGAATCAATTACGGGGAAAAATGGCCCCCTCCAGGGAGATGCTCAAGATGGACCAACAAATCACCTGAACAAGTTAGGCGAAAATGACAAAAAAGAGAAATACATAAATTTGGTAAATTTTATTTCCAATCCGATGTATTTTACCCCCCATTTGAAAGCACTCATCATTCTTCATGCACACATAAATCGCTATTCCATTCCCATGAACTACGTTGAAGAAACGAAAAGAGTCCTTCAGAAAACATTTAAGCTAATTAATGCACTGATCGACGTTATTAGCAGTAACAACATTTTAAATTTCTGCCTGTTCGTCATGGAGATATCACAGATGCTAACGCAGAGTATGAGCAGCACAGATGAGTCCAACCTGCTGCAGTTACCCCACTTCGATGAACCGTTAATTAGGAAGGCAAACGAGTTAGAGATCGCCGATGTGTATGACCTGATCAATGCGGAGGATGAACAAAGGGAGGAGCTTCTCATCCGGTTGAGTGACAAGGAGAAAAGTGAAATTGCTAATGTCTGCAACATTTTCCCTGTCATCGAGGTGCACTACGATATTGATTTGGAGAAAAAATACAAAGTAAACGAAATTGCTACTCTCAGTTTGACTATCGAACGTGACTTGGTGCAGGACGACCCGGACTCGACGGCCAACTGTTTTGCGCACTCCCTGTATCTCCCCTTCGAGAAGGAGGAACTGTGGTGGGTCGTCATTGGCATTAAGAAAATGAACCTGCTGCTGTCTATAAAGAAGCAGTCGCTGCTCAAGGCCGCTAACAATGTGAAGGTGAGCTTTGAGTTGCCCGACCAGCCCGGCCGCTACGACGTCGTCATCTACATTATAAATGACTGCTACGTGGGGTGCGACCAGGAATACGAGTTTGCGATTGAGGTGACGGCGTCTGCGTAGCAGGAGAAGACGTGACGATTGTGTGGCAGCTGAATAGTCATGGAAGTGTACCCCGTTCACGTGGCGCACTCAGCAGCTTCCATACCCTCCCCGTTTTTTCTTAATTTTCCCAAAGCGTGATGTGTTTTTTTCCCTGCGAATGGGGGGACTACTCTATCCAGTTGGGGAATGAAAAAAAAAAAAAAAAAAAAAAAA